TGAAGATTGCGGGGAAGATTTCCGCCTGCAAGAGCTTGTTGAAAAGAAGGGTGAAAAAAACCGGGTCGAGCTTTGTAAGCCACTTTAATGAGTGCGTAATCAAGGCCGTCTGGTCCGGGGGCCTTTTTGACAGGCAGGTGTTTAAAGATGTGCTTAACTTCTCTGTTGTTAAAAGGGTAGTCATCAGGGGTGTCTGGGACGCTTTCGTCATTGCGCATGTTCCGCTGCTCTGGTGTGTCATCTTCCGGGCAGTCGGCTATAAAAATGGCATCCAGAAGAGCACGATCAGTATCTGCTGCAAGGTTGTCCGATGCGCTTTGTGGTGAAGGGAGAGCATGGATTTGAGCCGGCTGGAATACTTTCTGGGTTGCGATTTTGTGCAAATACGGCAAAATGCCATATGGCAAAATGCCAAATGGGTTATTGTTGCTGGTACATGGTTGCTGGTACAAAAAGCCCTCCAGCTGGATACTTTCGCTTGCAGAATACTCCGTTTATAATTTGCACGTTCCCTTCTGTATGCTGCAAGAGTGTGAGCTCTGTTGTTTTTTCGTCAAGGTTAGTGCGAAGGCGTCGGCGAAGAGCTCTACATTTTTGCCTCTGTTGGCGAAGGCTCCTGTTCCACCATGAAATGCCCTGTATTTTTTTTCGCTGTGCGAAAAGGCAGGATTTGCTGGCAGTCATGGTGCAAATGATCCAGCAGTTGCTCCGTGAAGGTTTCCAGATCATCTGGGGTATTGCATTGCTGTAAGCGTTGTTCTTCCTGAGTGAAGGCGATTAGCAAAAACTCGCGAGAGAGTACGGATCTTGCATGCTGGAAGTTTAAACCGTCTTATGATTGAGATAGTGGTATCCAAATTAATTTCAAAGTGGATGTAATTGTGGTCAGAGCAGCTTTCTTCATTTAAAACTGACCAGAATTGCAAGTAATTGCTCATGTCTTCCGTGGAGATGGTAAGGTCTGGCCACCCGATATTATATGAATTATCGAATGTTGGTGGGGCATTGGGAGTATTGTGCAGATGCAAATGATTGGTTGCAAGAAAGTCTTCTAGGTGCTGCCCTTTGGGGTTCGTGGTGGAGTAGCCCCAGTTGACATTATGGGCGTTAAAATCGCCACATATTATTTGAGGGAGTTTGGGGCATGTTCTTTTGGTCTCGCTTATGAGGTCTAGGGTGGCTTGAATGTCTTCTTGTGGTGGTGACGAATACAGTGAAGTGAGCAGGAATTGAGAGTTATTGAAGATAACCAGGATGACTACATAGTCTCGATGCAGATGAACCACTTGTGGCGTCCAGAGGGGATTACAACACACAATGGCAGCACGTGGGGCTTGGTCTCTTCCTGTGCTGCAGAGTTGAAAGATTTTCCACGCATAAGGAAGTGCAGCTACACGACCTTTCATAGTGTAGGGCTCTTGTATGAGACAGAAATCTATATTGTGATCTATGGCATGTTGTATGACTTGTGCGGTAGCAGCCTCCGCCCTTTGGAGGTTAATTTGGACACATTTGATAGAGACTTGTTGTGTAGGAGGTACATTAACTGAAGAGGAAACGATCGGGCCATGATGTGCACTGGTGCTTGTTGGAGGCAGTGGCTCATCTTCAAATTCAATCTGGGTAGACGTCTGTCGTAAATCTGCCGTAAATTTAATCTGGTTAGACGTAGGTCGTGCTGCGCCTGATGCGCTCAACGTATTTGGCATATGTAGGACATTTTGTGTCGTAGGCTGGGTGTCCACTGTACAGTCTGCCGTTGGTACGATGGTTAAAATCTGCACAGTTGATGCAGGTGGGGGCTCTTGCTGTGCAGTCTCTTGTGAGGTGACTTCTTGAACAGTAGACGCAGTACATATTGTTCCTGCACTCCTGTTGTGTATGGCCGAATTCTTGGCATCGGAAGCAGCGTCTTGTGTTAAAGAACTCTGCAATCCGATGCGCTCGCCAGCCAATGAAAATTTTTGAAGACTGCATGAGTTGCAAGAAGGCCGCTGGGCTGCATTCAATAACCCATTTGACGCCATTGGATCTATCCTTTAGGCGATATAGGACCTTTGCCTGTTGTTTGGAAAGATGGAATCGGAGCCTAGGACTTTCTCTAAGTCCTCTTTTGTTATGTCCGGAGAGACGCTATGCATAGCGACTCTGGGGATTCTTGTGCTAGGTAACCTTGTCTTAAATATTTCAGAGGCCTTTTTACTTTGGAGGGAGCTCATGAGCTTGGTGAGATCTTCTTTGGAGTGACAATCAACCGCTAGTCCTTCTTTTGAAATGGATCTTACAGAGGAGACCTTTATTCCCAGTTGGGAGAGGGGAAATTACTGTCGCACAATTGCTCTGACCACTACGTAAATTTAACTGTATCCTGTTTGATGTAATTGCAACTGTGTGTGCCTTCAAGCAATTTCGAGAAATCGAAGGTACGAGAAATTTCTGGGGGGTGGGTGGGACGGAGCAAAACTATATAAGACCGGAGAGAGCATCAGTTTAGTTAAGTTCAGGATTTAGTTCAGAGTTTAGCTCAGAGTACTGACATATCATTGTCTGAATTTATGCGTTTTAATCTTTTTATGTTGTCTTATGTTTAACGTTCTTAGTGATTTGAAGTGGTCACTACTGATCGTGCTCTGTGATACTGAAAAGAGCTGTACGGGTACTTTTGTGAAAAGTTCCAAAACTGTAAAGTGTTTCTTTTGGGAAAATAAAATTTTATAAAGATATCATCGGTTCTGTGTACATTCAATTCATTGCAAACATGTACCCACGTAATAATATGTTTTTACTTTGTAGTGTAGGACGTTAGTAATACATAACAGTTTGTAAAAAAGGTAAGGATTGCTGCTTTAAAACTACTATACTGATCTAACTAAAACTGCTATATTGACTTAAAACTGCTATAATGATAATTTACTTGCTACGTAAGGAATTTAATATAAACTATGTTTGTTGGCATCTCTCAACAAAAAAACATATGAATAAAAATTTGAAAGTTTCTGACAAGAAAAATATGAAAGTTTAAAAGCAATGTCTTCCTAATAATTTTGTATTATAATTTCACAGATTTTAACTGAAATTGTTAATTGGTAGAAAGTGTTTTGATATAAATTTGGAATTTCCGAATTAATCAACAAGTCGTCCTCTCATGAAACAAGGAAATGCGTATCTCTTGTAAGAGTCCCTCATCCTTTGCTGTTGCCAACTGCAAAATTTTATTCTGTTCTGCAATCAAAATTAATTTTGAACTGCCTAAATTAAAATAAGAAATCTGATGTATACACCACATGACTTCCTTGTACGGAATATTAAATTATACGCATTTTTTCTTGCATTTCATTTAACTTATTAGATTGAATAAAACCTACTTCGCCGACAGCGCATAAACCACAATAGAATAAATGCATTCTTTAAAATTCATTTTGTTTACAATAGCGACACTCTGGCGCTAGGTTTACTTAACAGTACTATATTTCGATCATATTATAACTCAGAATGCACAAAATTTATATCATTTAAAGAATTATCTAATCGTTGCCACATGTTCTATTCAAATACTATAACAAAGCTAAGAACAATGTATAAAAGAAATTAAGCAAACAAAACGAAAAAGAAACAGTTTTTCACAGGCGATTGAGTATTGCTCATTCAATTAATTCAGTTTTCACTTCGCGACAAGGCAAAAATACTTAAAAACTCAAAATATCTGTATAAAAAATTACGAAGTAAATCTTAAATACTTATTTCCTCGAAAAAATTCCAGAAAGGATTAAGCATGATTTAATTCGCAATAATAAATGAAGGCGTTATTTTTGTGTTGCGAAGCTTAGTCTCTCTAGATTGGCAACAAATCTACAATTCTGCTGTTCCAAATGTAAACAAATATGTCCGCCATGTTATTTAAAACTCAACCGCACTTAAACAGCTTTTAAATTGTTGATAATTGTACAAATATTGCTTCCAGAATTACAAAAGGCATAAAAACTTTAACCGGAAGATAAAAACAACATAATTAAATCATTTTTAAAGCAAAAAATGTACAATTTACAAACATATAAGAGTAAAGAAACTGAGATTACTGAACCGGGTATAACAGAGTGGATATATTTATAAATATATTTATATACGTTTGGCGCGGCCGATTGAAACCAAAATACGAGGTGCACATCTACATGTTATAGTAGTCTTATATACAAAATTTCAACGTTCTGAGGCTACTCGTTTCTGAGTTATGCGAGATACGTACGTACGCACGCACGTATGTACATACGTTCGTACAGACGCCACGAAAAATTCTCTTCAGAATTCATTTTAAAACAGTTTTTTAGTTTTTTTGGAGGAAAAGAGTCTTTTATTCTGTCCTTACGTATAGATATCACGCAAAAACATCGTTAAATTGCATTCGAAAGCGATCAAAGTGGATATTTTCGTTGAAATATGCTGCCTGAAGCTTTTCGCGATTACATACTTCGTACAAGAAAGTAAAAAAAACAACTACTGAATTTATTGACTTAGATTTGAAAGCTAAGTTATAACTTTCAAAGTCGAAATATAATTAGTTGATGAATGAGATACTATCTGCGATTTTAGTAAAATTAAATTCTGCAAAGCATAAAGTATAATAGTATTTCATGTACAGAAAGGTTTGAAGTTTATTGCACATATGAACGAGATATTAAGCTTTAATTACACAGGCTGCCAATTATTTTTCATTGTGACCTAAACTCTGCTATTTTTTTTTAAATATAAATCGCAGCACTTAAGTACCACTGCTATTGGATAACAATATAAAATGAAAAACATTATTTTTAGATTTTCCTTATTATTCGGGTAAAAAAAATCCATTATGGGAAAGTTTTGATGTCTGGTTAAGAAAATTTAGCTAAATTTATCATTGACTGAATTTGCTACCTTTTGTAAGCATTTTTAACAAGCTGAGTGAAAAAATTATATTGATGAAGATGGGTATTTTTGCTGAAGAATGTTGATGTTTTAAATTTCATCTTAAATCCCCGATATATTTTTAGCAGCAGACCAGTTTTAGAATTCAAAGTAAATGCAAATTCTTTTTTTTTTCTTTCGGTTCGTGTTCTTTTAATTTGTATTGCTATTCTGAGTTTTACTTTATATAACAAATTAAAATATATTTCTGTAAATGGAATCGAAAAGCAAACTTAATTTAGTAAAATCCCAGTATACGGTATGGCCTTGGGTCGATTTTGAAAACTGTAACCAACACTAAAATGACGCATTTGAAACCACCCGATTCAGGATGAATCTCCAAAAGTCGCCAAATCCCGTGTGTACAGTAAACTAGGATCAGACGCTTAATTTTATATAAATTTAAAGCGTATTTATGTCTATCCCTACAAGCATATTTGCAGGTTAAGCGGTATTTGTAGTATACGGTACTGCACTGGCGCGATTTTGAAAACTATTGCCAACACTAAAATGACGAGTTTACTGCTCATAATGTCTCCAAAAGTTGCAAAATCCGATGTTTACCCATATTCTAAGGTTAAACCGATTAAGTTTCTCTTCTATTAATAAACCGAAAATTTCCCCAGAATAAAATAAATGGTACTTTTTGCAGGGTAATCGCGTTTATTAACCAAAACGTGCTTAATCTGGTTAGGTTAGGTTATTTGAATACGGCAAAGCAGACGAGGGCAATCTATTAAGCTTAGGGATGCCTTCAAGTTTTCAGAAAAACTGTCTCGTATTTACATCACACATACGGGGCCCACCAGCGGCCGAGCGGTAAAGTCGCTGAACACTGGTAGTTCGGTCCGAGGTTCGAATCCCGCGTACGGGCTGGCTGCATGGGCGTTTTCGTGGTTTTCCCCATGTGTAACGTGTATACGAGTCAGTTTCCTTTAGAAAGTCCTCCACGAAGGCATCCCTCCCTTTAGGCAGATAGCCCTAGTGTGCTTTGCCATAATTAAATACACCAAATACCATTACACATACGGAGCACAACGAAAATTAACCATGCATCCAGCGCGTTTTCTTTGATTCAAACCCTGGTCAAACTACCAGCATTTAGCCGTCTTAACCACTCGGCAACTGATGGGGGCTAGCTTAATTTGGGGCATGTAAATTTCAAATGTTGCCAAAGGCTTATGCAGTTGCCGCTTTAATAAAGAAGTACCAAATAGTTTCTAATATTTTTTACTTTTATTTTACCGAAGAAAGTTTCCTTAGTAACAAATGGCTAACCTATTTTGCCCTTTAACCTATTTTGTCTCCGAAATTATGTTCTTTAAGGGGGCTCATACACCTTAAACCCCTTTATAATCTTCGAATAGGTGACTTGCAAGAATTGGGATAATTCATTTATTTTAAAGCAATTACTTCCAACTTTTTACAGCTGACTACATAATATAGTTGCTTTAGAAACTAGTAACCATAAAGTTTGCGTTCCCACAAATATTTTTGTAATTTAATCCGCTTTTTGACAAACGTTTTCGTCATGTTTCCACCTTGCGCGCATGATATTTTAAAAATAGCTAATGGTACATACTTAAAATTTAATGGAATTCTTTATATGGGCACTATTTTTTAACTGAACCAAAAATTTGATGAATATTGTAGTATTTAAAAAATTTATGAACGAAAACATTACAGATTTTTTTAATAAAATACATTTTATAAACTCAACTTCAAATAAAATAAAAAATTAACATGAAATTCTTAGAATTTTACGTTCACAGTAGTTTTCAAATGTTATAAAAGCTATATATTAAATATGAAATTAAATTATACAACAGAATGTTTTAAACTGTGCTCGCAAGGTGGAAACTTGACGAAAGATTTTGTCACAAAACGAATTAAATTATAAAAATATTTGTGGCAACACAAACTTTCGGATTATTATTTCAGAAAGCAGCTATATTATGTAATGAGCTGTAAAAATTTGGAAGTAATTGCTTTTAAAATAAATAAGTTATCCCAATTCTTGCAACAGTCAAATATTCGAAGATCTTATGGGTTTTAAGGTGTATATGAGTCCCCTTAAATTAGAATTAAACTTAAGTAAGACGCTGAAAATACTTACAATTCGTTATTTTTGGGTAAGCGTGTGTGTAAAAAAAATCGGGATAATAATTTTTAATTGAGGGGTTAAGTAATTTCATACGCTTTGAAATAATTCTTTCTAAAATCATAATCAGCCTGGGTAATTTTTACTTCTGATGTTTACAAATAATAATTTGTAAGGTGATAAAGGCGAGAAATTGGATAAGCTTATTAATGTGAATTTATTGTATGATAGTATTTCATGACAAATATTACTAAAAGAAAATTTTAATTTCACTTTAATTTAACCACAAAAAGGAATGTTTTGAGCATATTAAGTATCTTAGTATCATCATTTAAATAGTCACTGATATTAAAGACAAAATATCTGCATTGTCATTTTACTCGCATTTTGTTTTCTTTTCTTTTTTATGGTATAAGAAAAATCATCGAGTCTTTTGGAACTTGGAAGCTCTTAATGGTTAAATGGGTTCAAATGAAATTGTGTCTGTTAACGAACAATTAGATAGCGCTCTGTAAGTGACAATGGGAATATAAGGAATACACTGGTGTGCAAAAATTAAGGACGAGACGGTTTTTTTTCAATATAACACTGTGCAAAAGCTTTCCAAATCAACACAAATAATACCATAAGATCCCCAAGACGTAAAACCGTCGGTAATGTAAGCAAAACTTCCCCCAAAAGAAATCAAAAGGATAGAAAGGAACTTCATTGAAAAAGTAGCATAGAGCACATTGTGACAGAAGCCGAAACATCCATCAGACCACCAGCGGCCGAGCGGTAAAATCGCTGAACACTGGTAGTTTGGTTCGAGGTTCGAATGCCGCGAACGGGCTGGCTGCATGGGCGTTTTCGCGGTTTTCCCCATGTGAAACGTGTATACGAGCCAGTTTCCCTTAGAAAGTCCTCCACGAAGCCATCCCTCCCCTTAGGCAGATAGCCCTAGTGTGCTTTGCCGTATTCTCAATACACCACACCGAAACATTCATGTGACAGGTGTTCAGCAAAAAGCATCCAGCCTTTAGTAGGGGATATGATCTCCCCTGACTGCTGTGCATGTTTTACATCGTTTGTGCATGTTGACTATGAGGTAGTCAATGAGTTGTTGAGGCACTGTGCCCCATTCCTCTTGTAGCGCCAATCGCAGCTCTGGAATCGTTACTGGTGATAAGTTACGTGCTGCCACTTGTTTCCCTAGAAAGTCCTATACACGCTTGATGGGATTTAGATCCGGAGACCTTGCTGGGCAGTCCATCAGTTCAATATCCTCACTCTCCAACAGCTCTTTGACAGCCACTGTGCGATGGGATGGAGCATTGTTGTCCGTGAAGAGGAACTGAGAACCCATAGGATCTCCGAAAAGACGAACGTAAGGGAGGAGAACCTCGTTACAATAACGAACCTCCCGGCGACTGAACCTTCATGAACAATGTGAAGGTTGGCACAGCTACCAAGCATGATACCTCCTGGTTAAGAATCAGATGAACTTTTTGTGGAGTGTATTTCATTTATTTACACAAACACATTAAAATAGAAGAAATGCCGTCCTCGTGACGACACAGAATTTTTCGATGCACACATTACTCAAAGCACTGTAGCAATAATAGAAAAGAATAGAACGCATAAATGACACACAGGTTCGTTACCATAGCAACCGTAACTAAATAATGAAGGCAGTACCGCCATCTATTGTTGCCAAGACACACTAGAAATTTGTTTGGTAACAAAAAATACTAAACATAGCCCTCTTGAAGCCTTCTAAGGGTTCAAAAAAGACAAATAGTTAAAGCACACATAATAACATTAATAAGAATTAATTTAAAATTCAACAAAAATTAAAATTCAATGATATGATAAAAGTCAATAGTTCATATTTGGTCATGACTGCGAACGACACACAATTTAGTAATAGCTCGTTTGAAATCACCAGCGGCTGTATGGATTGTAACCACTCTAACATTTTTGTCGCTACTTCGATGAATTAAGGCAATTGTTTTAATTTTCTATTGGTTTGGAAGCATTTGTTCGTTTTTGATCAGAACTAAGTCACCACATTTTAGATTTGGGGACGCGCGAAACCACTTAGCACGTTGTTCAAGAGTTGTTAAATATTCCCACCATCGTTTTAAAAAATGTTGCACCATTTGTTGAACTGGAGACCAACGTTTAAGTCTTGAAGATTTAACATCATTTTAGTCAAATTCGAAAATAGCAAGCAAAGGGACTCCAATCAGAAAGTGACCTGGAGTCAATGCACTAAAGTAGTTTGGATCACTAGATATCGCACATAGAGGACGGGAATTCATACGCGCTTCCAAAAATTCATCGCAAGCTAGAAGTGTGGATCCTAATACTAGTTTAAGATGAAATTTCATGGACTTCACATTAGGTACCCACAAACCACCGAAGTGAGGAGATGTCCAAAGATTAAATAACCAAGTTATACCTTCTGAGGTAATGTACTAGTTACATACTTCGTTGCTTTTCTCGATGCGAGCTGCATTTTTATAAATCTCTTTCAGTTCCTTTGAAGTTAATCGCACAGTCACTCGAAATTTCATATGGTTTGCCTCGTCGGGCGATAAATTCTTTTAGAGCTGCTAAAAACGTTGAAGTTAATAGGTCACTGACTAACTCCAAGTGTACAACTTTTGTTGAGAAACACACAAAAATGGATACGTAACACTTGAAAGTTTTAGCTTTTCTCCCAACTTGGGACTTAATTGAATATGGACCAGCATAATTAACACTGGTAACTGTAAAAGGTCTTGATGGTTGAACTCTGGGCGAGGGTAAATCACCCATTATATGGATCACACAGTCTTGCCGCGATTTCTTAATACAATGAAATACATTCGTGAATCTTTCTCACTACACTTCTCACCAAAAGAATCCAAAACTGCATTCGTAAAGTGCTTAACAGTAACTCTTGACTGGCATGCACATAAGTGACTGGCATGCACAATCGGAAAATGACCTGAAGTCAATGCACTAAAGTAGTTTGGATAACTAGATATCGCACATAGAGAACGGGAATTCATACACGCTTCCAAAAATTCATCGCAAGCTAGAAGTGTGGATCCTAATACTGGTAATGAGTTAAATAATTAATAATAATGGTAATGAGTTACGATGAGATTAGTTACATGTCCTTCCTTTGGAAACAAAGTAGGATGTTTGCTATTTTCAGGAATGTTTGCATTTTTTACGACCACCTATTCGAATGACACCTTCTTCATCAAGGAAGGGAGTTGATTGTATTAATCGACTGATCACGAAGTTTCAAGTTTTGTGTATTTTTAGCTTGCCGTGAAGTGAGAACTGAACTGAATGGATGAGAAATGTACCTCTAATGAAATTCGACGAAATAAGTTTAAGTGGTTCAACAAAAAAGTGTGTATAATTTAATACGCCTTACAGGGATGTCATGTGTTATCCACAACAAATATCTCGTTTTTATAATTTTAATGTGCGTATTTTTTTCACTTACTCGATAATTTATAACTTCAGTTTTTAACGATGAGGTATTTTTAATACCTCATTGTTAAAAACTCATCGTTGATGAAAATACCTCATCGTTATTTGAATATATTTGGATATATTGCTGCTTTATTTACATATAGACTTTCTTTACGTATAGATGTTTTATTTACACATAAATTATTTCTGATATTTCTAAGTATTTTGTGGTCCTTTCAGCTTCTACAGGTCGTCTGTTATCATGGAATACGATTGCGATAGCATTTCTCCAGCAACAATAAATATTGTGATGAATCTAGTTTCAAAAGTAAAAGAGTATGTCAATTGTTGCCGAAAAACTGCTACGCTTATTACGCATTTAATCAAAAAACAGAGAGAGAAAAATAAATTTCAAAATAGAAGCTACTGGGAAAGCGGAAATCTTAATCACATGCGTACAGAATCACAGTTAGGGCTCATGAAACAACATCTGGACAAAATTCTTCGCGAGAAGCAACGAGAAAATGCTGTATTGCGTGAAACGAACCAAAAATTGCGAGCAGAACAAAGAGAAAAGTGTAAGACAATAAAAAATTTAGATCACATTCTTTCTTCCCTAGACAATCAAATATGCTGCAGTGAAAACAGTCTAAAATATAAAGAAAAAGTCGAAGAATTTAACGTGGAAATTCAAAAACTGAAAAAGCAACTGGCAATAGAGTTGAAAAGATATCAGAAAGAGCAAAAGATAATTAAAAGAATTAAAAGTAAAGTTCTAAATGAAGACGATATTTCTGCTCAGGATAAAGCAGAATTTTCAGACGATTTAGAAGATAATAACGCAAAAGAAAGTAAGAAAGAATGTGCACATAAAAATAAAGACGATGATAAGTTTTGCGATAAAACACCAGACATTATCAATTCTAGTACAGATTCTAGTATTTTCGACGAAATTTTAGAAGAACCGGAGTTCGTTCGTCGAATCAACTACGATGTTTCAACTTGAATCACCCAAATGCTAAAATCAGTAATCAAAAGAAGTTCTTAAAACATAAATTTTTAAGCTATCAATTGGCCTCATTTTCTAAACAATGATTTAAAGATTCTCCCTTCTTTACACGATGTTAAATATGAGGTCACTATTTCCAAGCATACTGAAATTAAATTTTAATGAATTTTTATTTTATATTTACAGATGAATGATCAAAATTAAACTCAATTAAATATAAATTTAAAAAATACGTTTTTCTATTCAAACTTTAAACTGATACGCTTGAAAGATTTTACTGTAAAAAATAAAATAAAATTTGGCTGCTCTTGTTGAATGTAGTATTTTTATTCAAGTTAATAAAATTTTTGATTGATTTTTCCCCATTTTGATTTCCCCTACTACATTTCTCTTTGCACAGTACACATTAATAACGAAAAATATTCTCCTGAAACTCTCGGGTACACAGAAAAGCATGATATTAAAATAAAAAAAGTAATTATATCTTACTGTTTTATCGAGCAGTCAAAGCTTCAAGGCACAGAAGCCTCAAATTCTTAATTTCGCGATGGAAATTTTTTCTGGTAATTATTAATTTCTGGTATTTTGTGGCATATCTTCCTTTAGGGCTCCGGTGCGTTCCAGCTAAAATTGTAACTTATCTTAAAAACTGAGAAGCACCGGAGCCCGGCTCCGGTGAGCTCCGGCGCAATTAAAGCACTGACTTCACTTAACTTCAAATTAGCATCCTGGCGAGGAAATGCGAGTAGAAGTTGAGGAGTTCAGAAAAAATAACAAAAATTTTAATGATTAATTAATTGAACTAAGGGAACCCTACAATCTGACGTAACAGAATTCTCATAATAACTCATAGTATAGTTAAACTTTTCAATATTGATATACTTTAATCATGGACATCAACAGGGCTGCAACTAATGGTCCCAGAAGCCTCTCCTCACGACTCTGGCATTCTGATTAAATTATCTGTTAGACCAGTGGTGTCAAACTAGCTGCCCTCAAGAACATTTATTTCAATTCTGAATTTGTTGTAAATAAGGTGCTGGAAAGATTTGATGTCCTGGTTTATAATGTAGACTCATTGGGCTTTTTGAAGCAAGAGACATGAGAACTGAACAACGCCGTCGCCGGAACGTATCTGGACCTTTCGAATACGCGTCGAGTGTACTACCGTTACACCGTGAAGGCATACTGGAAGCAGGAGGAAAACACCTAATATTATTATTTTCAACTCCGTTAAAAATGAACATGAATAACGCACCAGAAAATCCATAAGTTACATTGTGATATAAGTTCCATTCACAGATTTTTGAAGTTAAAGATTTTATTAACATTTATGCGTGCTTGTCAAAATATAAATAAGCTCAGTTACGAGTTTTTGCAGCAAGAACAATCGCTTTTTTTGGGAATACATTTATATACAGGTTGATAATTGATATGCTTTCGCAGTTGAATTGATAGCTTTCACAGTTGAAAATCGATCGATTGGCCTCCCGAGGACAAATGTCCAGAACCGACCGCGTAGCGGGAGGAGACCTGGCGTTTGATCCGAGGACCGATCTGCCGGTCTTTGACCCGGGGATGGATGTCCGGAACCGGCTGGAAACCACTGTAGACGGCGTGAACCGTGCGCGGGAGATCGTCGTAGGCAGTGGCGGAAGGCAGGAGACCCGGTTGATCAATGGATAGGGAGTGTGGGAATGGCTTCAGGTTCGCCTGCTTGCGTCTCCCACGGCTCAACCTCCATGGGCTCAGCGTCAGCCTCCTCGTGGCCCCGCTGGAAACTATACGGTGCCTTGGCTCTATAGGCTAATGACGCTGAGCAACCAATCCCAGGGAATCGACTATGGTAGGAATTTCCGGAACCGACATTTATGGGAGGATACCCGGGGTTGTCCCAGACCACTGGCTGGGCTTGTATCCTGTCAGCTTCTATTTGTTGGGTATATAATCAGACTTCACAGACTAGAACCATAGGTCCAACCTATGGTAGGCGCGGGCTTGGCAGGGACCGCACTGGTGCTGTCGTGTCCGTTGCCTTCGTTGTGGGGACGGTCTCATGTAGATATTAAGCGCTGCGCCGGGGGGGACGGTTCCCCGCACAGCCCTCAGTGTGATGGAATGTCGCGATGAACATGAGAAGTCCCTGCGGGCTGCTCGGTGGGTTGGCGCCCCACCGAGGTTACAAATTTTATCAGAATCGACATGCCATTAATGTCAAGCTGTAGTAAGAAATAAGGAATTTTATAATTATTCACATACAAACGTATGTACTTTTATTTATGAGTTGGGAAAAAATTCAATAAATAAGAGAAAGAGATTAGGCTATTATTATTTTGTAGAGTCTCACTTGTTTAGTAACTTACACTAAGGCAAGACTACGATATAGAGCTAAACGACTTACCTCTATGTCTAGAGAAGCAAACAGAACATAAGTAGGGTGTAAAAAAAATCCTTTTAATTAAGAATTCAAAGAAATTAAACTTTCGGTGCTTACAAACCAGCCAGCATTTATGACATGACCTCAGTTTTGAACACGCAAGTTGGTTCTAACTTACACCTGCGTGACAGCACAGTCTACAAGAATAAAGCAATGCTGTAGACAGGAATGCTATAATAGAATCTCCATTAATAAATAACGTAGGCGGAACACGCTCTGAGTAAAGCAATATCAAGCCCTCGCTCGAATACCTTACAATTTATTTTCAAGCTTTGCCCACTTCGAAAATTTTCTCCGAAAACTTAGAAAGTTTTCATTATTATTATTATTATTTGGTTTCAATTAAATTTAGTTAGTTAAAGATTAACTAAACATTCTGGCGATCCTGGCGACTAGATCCATGTTGGTTTCAAATGGGCACATGTTGATTAGGCTTTTCATATGGCCCCAGAGGAAAAGTCTAAATACCAGAGATCCGGTGATCTTGGTGGCCAAGCTATGGGACAACCTCGACCAATCCATCGCCCTTGAAATTTCGTGATTCGTATAACCAGAAATATATTTCGGCAATACATGGTAGAAAATGCCGTTTTGTGCGAAGACCGACGCTTTTATACCATTTATTTACAATGCCACCTAGAGGCTCGCCGTTTGCTTTCCGGCCATACATTCTATGACAAATATTGCTCTTATAGCTGCCTTCTATTACCCTTAAAGTTTTGCCCTCTTGTTCAGATTCACCCTGTATACTGTGTTGCATAAGCTGTGAAGCTGTAAGTAGCTCTCTTCGCCACTAGATGGCGTTCGATAGGTACTAGATAGCTTCTCTCATTTTTCGCATTACATTACACAGAAAAATACAATTTCACATATCCTCTATCTATGTACGAAATTCGTTAACAATATACACAGACGTCGCTTTGTTTGCACTTACGCCTCATAAATGAGTTCTCTGTAGAATGTTAGTGTTGCCGTACATTTCAAATAAATAAATAAAAGATCAAAAAAAAAAAAAAAAAAATCTGAAAGGTTTCAGATTTTAAATTACGTCCAAAGGAGCGTTTTTTTTAACGTTTTGTGTGTTACCTTTATTTATTAAATATCATGTTCTTTGCACTTAAACCATAAAATTCAGTTCAATAGCAATGTAGCAAAATAATTTTAAAATGAGCCTATCTTTAGAGTTTCCGATACACAGTTCCGCGCGCTGGAGATAAAAAAGGTTTTTTTTCTTTCCCCGTAGAGTGTTGCCATTACTTGCTTTGAAATCCTTGAGTTTGTTAATCAAAAATTCGTTAAAGTTTTACAAAAGATGAAATCAATCATAAAACAAATTCCAAATTTCAAATTTGGTCTTCCACATGCCCATATTCGTAGGAGGATGACGTCATTCAAAATTCGATGGCTCTGTGTACCGTTGATTTATCACAATGCGAGAAATAGACATACATTTATGCAGATTTTCCTTATTTAATTTCTTCAAATATAATAAAGGACTCTAACATTTGGTGGAAACAGTTTGAAAAGTGAAACGGACATTTATAGTGATCCAACGCAAAATCGCAAAACGAAAACAATAGTCTTTCAGGGACAAAGCCCCTTTGGACTAAAAAGAAATCTTTTCCCATTACATCATATCAATGTTGTATTGTCTTAACAAATTGACCTAAATAACTTCTTTTTTTACTTTTTAACTTCATTATTATATATCACTTTCTTCACACTTACGCAATAAAATTCAAGTAACAAATCGAAAATTTTAAAGCAGCATATATTAGAATTACCGGTACAGTGTTCAGTTCCGCCATTAATTATTTTCCGTTCTTTTTCTCAGTTCATCATACCGATGTTCAGATATTTTAGTAAGATGACTTACAGACTTTTTTTTCTGGGGGGGGGGAACTTTTGTTTTTGTTTTAAGTTTTTTTTTTTTTTTTTTTTTTTTAAACTATTAAACATTAGTTTTTTCGCACTTAGCCACAGAAAGCACAAAATATTTAAACAACATATTTTTAGAATCTCCGGCAGTATTAAGCGTTTGCCATACAATTTTTTAATATTTTGCTGTGTTATTTTTTTAAAAAAATACATGGCGATAATATCTGGCGGCAACATTGAAACAAAGGGACTGGGGTATAGACCCCTTTGGCACCTCCAGATGATAGAAATCTTTTCCCATTACTGATCATATCAATGTTGTATTGTCTTAACAAATTGATCCTTAAATACAGCTTCTTTTTTTACTTTTTAACTTCGGATTATTGATATAGCGTCAAATACCTTTTATCTCACCGTTTCAATTATAAAAAAGCTACTAAACGCTTTCTTCATTCAAGTAAAATATTAATTAAAATGGATGAGTTTTAATCCCCCCAAAATTATCTGCATGTCTATCACTTTTTCTAATGTACTTAATAACGAAATATTACTCTGTTCTAGATGAGAATTTTCCTTCTCCACTTTTGGCAAGGATTTCCGGAACATCTTCTGGAAGTGGTTTGTCATAAGATTACAGCAGATCTCGTTGTTGCTTGTGATTCGATTCTGTACAGGGTAATTAATGTCTCTCTGCTTTCTATATTTAGTAAAACAAAAGCTAATTTTATAATAATTGTAGCTTATTTGACATGGATTAAAAATAGCTAATATATAAAAAACTTGATTCCAATATTTGTCAAATTTCGACTAAAATCTCTTACTTCATAATAGACATTTCAAAGCATTTTTCTCTTTCTGGTTTGCCTCATTTACTATCGGAACTGTTATGGAAGAAAATGTAATCTGTAATTTGCTAAAATCCCTTGATCCTCTTTGTACAGTAATGATGATACACATTGGGGCGACGCCTTAAAGTTAAAAAGAAAGAATTATTATTTAACATACATCATATAAAAAATCCTTATTAGAACTTTCAAGCTGTAGCTTTGCATTGTGTAAAGGCATTAGATTATTTTGAACAGGAGTACATGAAAAACGAGCAATGCCCTCACCGGGACTCGAACCCTGGACCTCTCGAATATGCGCGGAGTATGCTACCGTTACACCACGAAGGCTTGCTGGAAGGAGAGAGAAGATACCTTATAACTAAATTAATGATTTAAGAGTGGGGCATTGAAACGAGTTGCGTGTTATCACTTCCTATATCTTTTTACCCATTCCTCATCATAAAAGGATTGTGCATGCTGAAAAGGGTCACCATTCAGCTGCCAAAACCTTTACAATGGGCAAAGCGAATGCTAGCCCCCCCCTTTCCACCCGCAATGCGAGGAATTGAATGAATTTCGCGCTCTTAGCATACTGTTCCGTCATAACTACAATGAGAGAATATTCCGTAGTTTATCGTTGAATTTTAAGCAAATTTTAGTGCTTTTTTGTACGGTAGAGACAAATATTTTATTTCAAGATTTGGGTTGCCCAACGCATTTAAAACGCTCAATTATTATTTATTTCAAAGTTCCACATGACAGTGTATTCTGCAAGACTAAGGGAAATATTTTTCCTAGAAATTAGTAGCAACATGTGCTGTTCCAAAAATTTAACCGGTTAGGAGTAATCAAGAAAGCTCTTTCTCTTGGTGTATTTTCAATTGTTTGGTAGTGGCAGAACAAGTGCTCGGACTAAAGATGAAATAATCAAATTCTCAGCATCAGTGACGAAATAATTTAACGTAAGGTCCACGGGCATTTTTAATCGAGGACTTGGTCCGCTTTCAAGACGACTTTGCATGTTGTTGCCTGGTTAGCATCAGCGTCCGAAAATTTCACCACGGTTACTCTACATGTGCATTCCTATCTTAAGAGTTGCGACGGGAAACGAAAGCGTAAATACAAATATTAACCAGAAGCCACGAATTTCGACTAATGTGTACGCGGTAATTCCGCAAATACACACACGAAAGCGATTGTCATTTCGTTCGCTTAAGTGCAACTTATTTCTGTGTTTTAGCTATACTGGTCTCTCTCTCTCTCTCTTTTTTTTTTTTTTAAATCTTTTTACGTCCTTGTAAAAAGTAAAGGAAGTATTGTAACAGTGAAATATTTCGGGTACTATATTTCAATGAAAATATCCATTTCAACCACTCTCAAACCCATTTGAACGATGTTTTTCCGCGACATACATCGAAACAGAATACGGGTACGAACAGAATAAAGGACTGTTTTTCTAAAAAGGATTATAAAATGCATTTAAAATGGATTCAGAAGAGATTAGTTTCTTGCCGTCTGTACCATAAAATATGTCTCCCCTACAACTTGAGAACGAGTAGCTTTAGAACGTTGGTTTGGTTTGGTTTATTTAATTATGGCAAAGCACACTAGGGCTATCGCCTAAGGGAAGGGATGCCTTCGTGGAAGACTTTCTAAGGGAAACTGGCTCGTATACACGTTACACATGGGAAAACCACGAAAACGCCCATGCAACCAGCCCGTTCGCGGGATTCGAACCTCCGGCCGAACTGCCAGTGTTCAGCGACTTTACCGCTCGGTCGCTGGTCTGTAGAACGTGGAAATTTTGTATGTAATGTATAACATGCAGTTGTGCAAATGTGCATGTAGTTGTGTGTGAATATATATATATATTCCCACTCCACCTATATATATATATATATATATATATTCCCATTGTTACCTGGCTCGGTGAGCTTTTCTTTTTTTCTTCTTAGTATATGTTGGTAAATTGTGCATTTTTTGCTTTAAAGGTGATTCAGTTATGTGGTTTTTATTTTTTGGTTAAGGACTTTAAACCTTTAATCAATCTGCATGCAATAGTTGTAGAATTATCAACAATTTAAAATTTGAATTGGAGAATTAAGTCTAACTAACCACCATTTGTTTTCATTTGAAACTCAGCAAAAGAGTGAATTAAGTCAGTTTCTACACCCTAAATGTCTTTTTGCCGATTAGGACTAAAAGTAAACTTTCAGTTTTGTGTATTAAAGGTTCAAGTCTACGTATTAAGAGTTCAGTTTTGTGTAGTAAGGTTCTGTTAAAGTCACTTTTAAACAATTAAATTATGAATTAAAAATGCAATTTATGCCTTAAAATTAAATTCATGAATTAAAAATGAAAATTATTAAGTACTATACAGCTTTTAAAGCTTTTAGTTTGTACTATATATAAGTACTTTTACAATTGTAGAGATAAGTATGTTTAAAATTTTCTACGGTACTTACGCTTTATCCGTCAACCGGCCAAGTAAGGCGATTTAGCGCCAGTTATGGATGACTGTGTCTTTTAGAATTCTGCGGTAACGACTGGGGATTGGCGACCGTTACCGAAATTTTCGCAAACTGTCGACGGAATAATATATAAGCACCTTTTCGCCTTCAATGCTACCAAAAATATTAGAACTCATAAGTCTTAAAAGGTAAATTGAACTAATAATTTAGCATTAGACTGATAGCATTTATGAGAAATGACAACAGGCCAAGCTGCGTGACTGATCAGTGCTATGGTAATGCTATGTACGGTAACGAGCGTAATGACTCAGGTTTGATTATAGATTTTTCTAACATCAAAATATTCATATGTCTGATAGAAAATTCATTATAATTGTTGGTTGAAGTTATATGATTAAAGTATCGTCATCTTATTGTTAAAAAGATAAATGTAAGCAGAAATTGATCATTCTTTTATTAATGCCATGAAAAATGGAAAACTAATATCGCTACAATAAGCGTCACTGATTTGATTGCTCACAAAGTTTTTAATACTTGCGTGATAATGTTTAAGAAGACGCAAGCAAAATTTACCAATTTCTGAATTAGTAATACAAATAGCAGGATGTCATATTGCTTATATTAATTTTTAAACGAAGTGATTTATGTAGTGTAACAAATTGCTATTCAAGTTATTGTTATTAAAATTATTTTCTTCATTTTTTAGACGCTGTTGGATATACTTATTCCAAACACCATAGCAGAAATGCCTGAAAGGTATGTATTAATTCAGTGCTAATTATGGCCAAAATCATAATATTCGCTGCAATATGTATTGGTACGTTTCTATTAACGGGGCATTACTTAATGTCAATCATAAATCTTGGCTTAAAATTTAATTAGGTGACGGCAACTTTAACGACACATAAAGCTTCACCGGAAAACAGAACTTGTAATGAGAGTAATGAATATATTGTTGCGTTTTTCTTTTCTGACACCAGTTGTTACCCTATTTTCTTCTTTCACTTTCGTACGGGGTTCGTGTGGATTTGGAGTGACTAACGACGAGACTTCTTGATGAAATATCGAAACACACTTTATTGGCCAGTGTGGTCAGGACAGCTCCAAAACACGTTTTTACAGTCGTCGATAAACTACTATAAACACGCTGACAAGATTAGCGACACAGCCTCCAGATTATCAGGCTATCACGGTGGAGACAGCTTCACGGCAAAGCACTAGAGTAAAGCTCCCGATTCTGCTTGGTCGTTCTCGGAACTCCACGTACTCTCGAGACTCTCCACGCTACAACTCGCGATGCACTCAACGACACACAGAGCATAGCTCCCAACTCTTCGGTTCAGTCGTTCCCGGAGCTCAACACGCTCTCTCGATGATACACTAACCGCGATACACTACGAGACTCTTTCGTTGCACTCGACGATCCACTCGGCACTCGCTGCCCGCTGTCAACTCGATCGACTCCGAAGGGATTGACTCGCTAGACGAGACACTAACTCTCCGCGTAGCAGCAGGGGTTTATATAGCTTTTGGCTGGTGTTCGAGGGGTAAACATTCTGGGGTAAACCGGTAAGAATTCGTTCCAGAAGGTTCTCCATCCGTCCATGGTATATCGCTAATTTTGTCGCCAAATGGGCGATTTCTCGGCAAATGTGGCAACCCTGCTTTCTTCGCTATTTTATGGCAACCCTAAAACTGCTTTGCGGGGAAGCCATATTACCGCACCTGTACATTTCGTAACAATATGTGGTTAATGGGCTCAAATCCTAAGCTATGCGCGATGCCAAATTTGTGTAATTCTCTGATTTTTTTAAGCAGAAATTCGGCAACGCGCACGGCTTTGGCAATGCGTTCATTAAACATCGCATAGCTATTCATGATGCAATATAAGAAGGCTATCACATTTGGCGATCGGCCCCGTTAAAGAAGCTATGCGTTCTATTGCCCAGCCAATCAAGATTTTTAAAAAATTCTTCTAATCATTTTTTATATACAGTGAAATCTTTGTTCACGAATTTAATTCATTCCTGGAGGGCGTTTGTCAGCCGAAATATATTAATTCGTTCTTCTTCAGAACTTTTATAACCCAAATATATAACCAAAATTGGTGATCATTAATTATGAAACAAAAAATACAAATACAAAATAAAACAGATGAAAATTTAAATTTATTGTAACTTATGAAGAAAAGTAGAGAACGTAAGTGGAGAATGATGCAGAAGATCTTATTGTTTAGATTCTATATTCTCTTTCCTTAAATAACCAGGTAACTGCCTTTACTCAGACCCAATGGGCCTTTATTTCACTCAAAATATGCCCAATATGATTTGGTGTTGCCTACATTTTGAAAGGTTTCTAAAGTGATACATGGCATTGTCATTAAAAATTTTTGCTTGGAACTTGCTACTGCTTGATCAGAGCATTTAGTGATAACTGTATTTTACTCTATTTCACAAATCAGAAAACTAGGATAATTTTCTTTTTTTCTTTTCTTCTGAAGACATTTCAACCATACTAACCTTTTGTTGCTGCTTCTGAAGTTGCAGTAGTTCTTTCCTGTTGGTCTCATTTTTATGATCCTCTAATAAGTTCTCCATTACTTTATTATTAAATTCCCGACTCAAAGAGACCCGTTGATTTGAAATGTGTCTTCAATCATTAGTAACGGCAGACACTCATCGAGGTTAAAGTGCCCTGACTCGTTATACCCGAGGAAGGTTCGCCGCTTCGTACTTCTTTAACCCCTCAGAATGAGTCGAAAATAAAAAGAGGTGATTGATGGTGATACATAAAAAGAGGTGATTGATGGTGATACAATAAAAAGAGGTGAGTGATACCTTTGACACAATGCCCCTAGGGGCATTGTATCAAATGTAAGTTCATTTACAAAGACAGGAAATAAGAATGAACTTCTTCATTTCCGATCGTATTTCCAAGAAACTACTTCTCATTTAACAGACTGCTTTTAGGAGATGAGATTATCGTTGTTAATTTTCCGATACGAGAGTAAGAAACCTTTCACTTGGGTAGAGAGGCGAATAGGAGGTTTTCTAAGTAGGTCTTAATAGCTAGTGAAAGGGGTAAAAGTATTTCTAAGGCCAGTTTTAGGTGCAAGAGGCTTTCCCCTGAAGGAAGAAAAAGAAATAAAATCTGAGTTTCGTAGGACGATGAAGTAGCTAGATGATCAAAAAGCCTTAAGTGTCAAAGCGCTCAAAATCTCTTCCTGTAGCCATAGATAAATTCACGGTCTTGTAACTCAGTTGCTGCTAGGCTTTGTAAATAAGAGTTAAGTATTGGAAAATATTAAAATGATGTTTTTAGAAATCCGTGAATGTTAATTATGTGAGACAGGTTACCTCAAAATACCTTCGAAAATCAAATGTTGCCGACTTAAGCGTTCAGAAATCGAGTCTTATTTGGTCATCTGAAGCATTTTTTGTTGAGATAATTTGTTCGTGAACCGAACTGTTCGCGATGTAAAGGTTTAAAATCCGAGGTTCCTCTGTATCCCAGAAAAGATAGGAAATGTTCAACATTGTAATCTAATCGAGAAATTCTTATGTAACACACATCCACGTTAAGGTTACCTCAAAACACCTTCGAAAATCAAATGTTGCCGACTTAAGTATTCCTAAATCTAGCCATATTTGGTCATCTGAAGCATTTCTTGTTGAGATAATTTGTTCGTGAACCGAACTGTTCACTGAGTAAAGGTTTATGATCCGAGGTTCCTTTGTATCTGAGAAAAGATAGGAAATTTTCAACATCGTAATCTAATCGAGAAATTCTTATGTAACACACATCCACGTTCAGATAAGATATAGCGAAATAAGATGGTCAAGCTTGAATATATTACTAGGTTATAATGAGCTATAAATACCCTGCTTTCCTTGAAGTTAAGCACGCTACTGTTAATTCTGTATAACTGAAAAAGTTACTATTTGATTGACTCAAACTTTTACAAGAGGTTGGTATTTGGTTATATATTCAATATAGTTTCTATCACGAAAATTACATTAAGCAAGATATATTTAAATAATTTGTAACTTACATATGTACACATCATATTATTTTGTACATTAAAAAATTAAGAAAGTAAGAAAAATGTGTAAAATATGCAAAGAAACGAAATTTACCTTAATAAGAAATGTGACCATTTGTAACCTTCGTACAAATTATACAGAGACGTAAGGTCAAACGCATTTTAGAGGCCAATAAATTAGCCTCACTAATTACTACCGCGTATAATTTCACAGTGGAATCGAGAATTCCATCCCAATACTTTCAAGCCGTCACCGTAAAAATGTGCAGGTCGAAGCGATGACTCAAGGAAAATCCAGCTCACAACATGACATTAACAGCCGTAGAAGCGTTTGTATTCATATATATGAAATTACTGAATTTATCCCCTATTACTTTTTCTTCCCAGATACTCACACTTTTAAATCATGTTCCAGTCCAAATTTTGACCTGATGTACACATTAAGCTGGAACAACTAACTGCTTTCCCATTCATTTGTTAACGACTCTTGTTCAGCAGTGGTTCTTTGGCTTTGATGCTTAAATTGTTGTAGCAACAATTTATCTTAGAATTCACTCGATCACTTGTCGACTGTGCTTAGCTAATAAAGTCATCCTAGGGTAGAGTAATGCCGGGAAACATGTGTCTGAACAATTGATTCACTCGTTTCAAGCTGTTTCCAAAAACGAGAAAGCACGGAATGATCAATATCAAAGAAAACAGAGACATCGTTAATATTCTATTTTACTTTAATCGACCGAGAGCATGCCAGCGTTGAAAATAATCCAACTGTCATTTTTAAGCTGTAATTCACTTTATCTAGTAAAAAGTAAGAAAACTTTCAAAAATTGTCTTTCAGTAATTGAATGCATTTATTCACTTGGATATTAAAACTTAATTCTTCTTTTGAATTTGAATTACAAACGAGTTTTTACTTGACTCTTTGAGATATACTACTACAAGGGATGACAAAAAATATGAAATAACTCGAAAAGCTTCATTTTAAGCAGGTGCGAAAATATGTTGTGAAGCTGGTGACGCAGTAGAAGATAGAAAATAATGAAACGTCTTTGAAATTTTTTACAATCATCATCTGACTGTATTCATTGAGAGATTCACACAAGAATATTAAATTAATGAAGTACATACAAATGACTGAAAAAGCAGCCAGAGACTTTTGATATATGCAAATTCAAAGAAATAATATTTATTAACATAGAGTTTGAAGAGGTTTAAACTTGAGAAATCTTAAGAATAATCTCAGCGTGGTCTTAACTTCACCACTTGGTTTTATAATTCTCTATCCGTAACCTTTGAAAACTATTTTATATGGTGGGATAGTAGTCTGTGTAGCAGCAGTTGCAAGAAATATTGAGGTTGAAATATTACGGTAAATTGTTGAAATATAGTCATGCAGGGAAACTACATATCGTTTAAGATAATATTATTACATATTGCAGGCACATTAGCCCTGTTTCTTAGTTCTTTATAACTTGTTTTATAAACGATAGAATTAGAAGAAAGCGATTGTCGAAGCTGGTATGGTGAAAGTGAGTACTGGCTTCAAGAAGACAAAATTGGAACTAAGTTTTAACTTAGCCTCAAAAGCCATGCAAGTTATATATGGATGTATAGGCCGAGTTTACTTTACTGCGTGTTCAAAAAAGTATACTCTTTGAAGATGAGTTGGTCATCTAAATAACTCCTAAGTTTTTGTTGAGGTTACGGCTGGACGTTGAGAGCCAGTGTTGAAAATATCATTTCATATTCCATTATTTTTAATATATCTCATTAAGATAATAATTTTGCTTTTCAGTAGATTACTTTTTGATATGCCATATAGATCACCAGTGAAGAATATTGCTGTGACTAAGTTTGCCCATTGCTTGATTTGAGTGGCGTGAAATCCTTAAAACTGCTATATCATCGAGTTCCTTGAGGGCCTGACCGATCATTGACAACTAAACTAAACAATACTGAGCTTAGAATGAGTACTGAATAATACCAGCCGAAAAACGTTTTCTAACACAAAATACGTCACACATTTTAACTTGAAAACCCTCTCTACATTAAGAATGGATTGTTGAGTTTAACAAGCTTGAAAGAGGGTTGAAGTCTTATAAGTATGAAGATTATTAGTCTTTGATGCCACCTGCGGTTGAATACTTTTTCAAACATATTTTTTGGAGAATAAACCCTAATTGGTCTCATTATTCCCTAAAACAATCACAGTGTGTTTCACTAAGTGAAATTAAAGCAAAAGTTCCGGAACTCAGAATTTGTATCTAGTGCTTAATTTTTGGAAAGTTTTGAATTAAAATTAATTAAGATACCTCTGCAACAGTAAATATTTGCAGTTGTTATGTTAATCTTCAAAAAGCAATTTTAAATCAGTTTTATTTCGGAATAATTAAAAATTTTTTGTCGATGCTATTTGTATAACAAATAGCTGCAGTCGAAAGTAATTTATTGATAGCAACGTCTCAGGCTAGCACGCAAAGCACGTGTTTAAAAAATGCAATACGTATTGTAGAGTCTGATCCTATTTGGTAACATACACTGAGTTAAAACTAATTAAGTAGAACTAAATGACTCTACTTAATTAAGTAGTAGTAAATTCTAAGTAGAACTAAATGACTTATCGCTATGTCTAGAAAGCAAACAGAAACGTAAAAAGAATGTAAAAGACCCTTTTATTAAGAACTCTGATAGCTGAGCAGAAGGCACTCCTGGTGTTTACAAACCAGCCAGTATTTGAAAGGGTAGAATTGGTTAGAAATCAAAAGCAAGGAATTAAATTTAATCTAAGTCTTAAATTAGCCAAAGGCTATGCAGAAATATTTAGGGCGTAAGATGGCTCTAACCTACACCGACGTGACAGCACAATCTGCAAGACTAAAACAATGCCATAGACAGGAATGCTATCCTAGAATATCAACCAGTAACCTGGCCTTCAACAGGCGGAACGCGCTCTGACTATAACACTCTCAAATTTTCGCTTAAATAGACGACAGATAAAATTTGCATTCTGGCAGAAAAACAGAAAGGGAGAAATGATAATAATGTAGGGGAACATAAAATAACTGGTTAGTTAAAATAAAATACTTAGCAATATAAACACATAAATTATTATTACACATATTATTTTATTACACTATATACTTTTACCTGAACGTTTACACTTGTTTTATCGAAAGCATATTCGTAACTATTATTATATTTAAACAATCACCTATATCCAGACCAGCATTTAATAAATTTGCTAGTTTCTTTGTGATAATGAATTCTTCCCCTTTAGTTTACTGCAAGGCATTCAGAACCTCGGCTTGCACTGGAAAAAATGGCAGGAAAATTCTTTAGAAAATATGCCTGAAGAGCTGCTGGATAAGAAACTGATCCACGCTAGAACTTTTGGAAGTTCTTTGAAACGGCACGCTGCGTTTTTGCATCTTGCTCAGGTAAGTGGCAAATATGCTTCATGCATTTAAATGGTTGTATATCTGATAAATTCGTAGAGAAAGTATTTATACATAAATATATAAGTACTGATAGCTTGGGTTTTCATCGAAATTTTCAGAATTGGTAATTGTGTCTATGAAATAATTATTTCAATTCAGGAGTGATGACAAATTTCAGATAAATTTTTAAAATATCAAATCATAGAATCCTTTAAGCATTTTGTTAACTGTTATGGAAATATTTTCAATTTAAGTAATAGAAGCACTTTATTCGAATCATTTTGAACAGTTTTTAAACGCTACATGGTTATTCTTAATTGTACACTAAAATGAACACTTCGTAATTCATCCTTTTTTATAGAAAACGGGCGGCGTATAGACTAGAAAGGGCAAAATTTATCCTCTGCTAAATCCATTAGACTCATTCCTTGACCAGTAGATATAGTTTCCTAAAAATTAGTCCATGATACGTTGATACTTCTGTGTCACAGTGGTCCACAGCAAGAGATTTCATATCCTGCTCTTACCAGTTCCTTAATGAGTCTAAAACGGGCCTAGCGGAGGTGAAAAACATCAGCGAAGTTTTGTCCTTTTCCAGTCCATTTTACAATTTTTTTTTTTTTTTTTTTGTCTGTCCAGGGCAGGCATAAATAGATGGAGCCTAGTCCATGAACACTTTTATTATGTCACTAATTAAAATTTAATTAACAATAAAAGTGGCAGTTATTGATAATTATATTTTTTCTTAACTTTAAACAAAAATAAAATTACGAAGAGATAAGTTGTATTAACACGATGCTCAAAATAGTGCATTAAAATTCATCTTGTCACAAATAGCGAGTTTAATGTTTAATAAAGAATATTACAAGGGATCCAAAGAAGAGTCTGTAAAAATCTTTTTATTTCGGTATAATCAGCACTCTCTTGTTCAAACTATGCTTGTTCAAAATTTCCCATACACATTGGGGGTTTAATCCAATACCTAGTTTTTCGCCTCTGCTTAGGCTTATAAGTATTTATTTATTTTTATCCAATCAGTTACTTTATGTTAAATAGGTTATTGTCATTCTCCTTTCTGTTTTCTTGTCAAAATGCTATTTTTGTATTTCGTGTGTATTTCAATGGAGTAGAAAAAGATAGTATTTAAAGAAAGGTTTTTTAATCAGAGGGTATTCTGACTGCTGAAGCCTATGTTACTAGTTGAAACTCTTCGATCGCAGTCTGTCTGCAGTGTTGCGTTATTCTCGCCATTAGGGCTTGGCACGCCGGCATTGGTTTGAGCCAACTTGCGCGTTATTCATTCTGTGTAACGTTTGGCTAACTTATGACTTAACTTAGTTTTAATTTGAACTCATTACTGAGTTACGCCATAAATGCGGCTGATTTTGTAACCGCAAGAAGTGCCTTTTATTAAATTAATGCGTTTGGTTAAAAGGGTCTTTTACAGCCTTCTTGCATTCTCTGTCGTCTTACTGAACATAGCGGTTCTAGGTTCAGCTGGAGTCTCAAGTTAATTTATGCTTCCCAAAAAGATGGAGTCTCTACAGGCTTAATGTGGTAAAGTCATATTTTGAAAGTAAAGCTCTTAGCAGAATTGTTGAAGCAGAATGCCTGAACGACTAAACTTAAACGAATCGAGGTCACCGTTTGTCAACCGAGTGTTAACTGAGTCGACGGTGCTGTTTGTCATCTGTACGACAAAGCACAGAATTTGAAGTATGGAATAAACTCTCTGATCTATCATGAGAACAGCAGGCCCGATATTGTGCTTAAGCTGTTGTGTATCCTCTGAAGAAGAAAATCTACTACCTGTGTATCATTATCAAAGGCCGGATGGGTTGGACAGGCTGGTAGCTTTTTTTATTTGGAACATGTCCAATTTCAAGAATTTCATATTATGCTTAGCCGATTTATAGTGATTTTTCATTTTGTTGCTTAACTTTTTGGAAACTAGTGTATTTAATTTTCCGCTATCCCTTCTGCTATATCATTGATAAAGTCTTCTTGGTTATATCTTACAGGGTGGGTTTTTGCTTTTGTGAAACTATCTTCTCATAGTCTGTGCTCAGATACGTTTGTGGTGACGTATTCATCGTATATGGCGTCCATTTTAACCATTGTACATATGGTGGCTTCCGCTTTTAACCTTTGAATTTTTGTAGCTATGCCCCGTTCTAACGCCAGCAGATATAGTGGTTTGAGACCTGCAATAATGAGAACTGCATTTTTCGGCCTTGCCTTTTATACTTTTGTAATTAAGAAAGCTTTGCTCTGAAAAAAAATCGTGATCTAATTATATTCTAGAGCGAATCATCGTAACCTTTGCAACACTTGCTCCAGACGTTACCTAGCCTAAGCGGATGTAAATAGAATATCGTTTTATTAACTGCAAACAATCTACGAAGTTGGTATTGAAATTGCCAATCATATGGTAAATTTCAATACGAACTCTATTGCCTTGAATGTAAAAGATATTTCTTTCTCTCGTTTATTTTGCCATTAAGCTGCCTCAAATACGTTTTCTATTAAAAGTATTAAAAATTAAGACCATCTTTTTCAATAAACCCGTATATAAAAAATAGTGGAATGATATACAGCTTATACATGAGTTTCATCTTTACTGAAACATGATTGGCTTCGCAGGTAATACGACCTGTCTTAAGCAGTGGCATCTTCATGTCCTTGAGTCAAGAGCTTGAGGAAATGGCATCAGAAGGAAAGGCTCATGACTGGAATCCTGTTCAAGACAGCAACTTAATTTTCACACCTAATTCAAATTTAAAAAGTAAGTTATTTGTTTAATAAACAATTTTCAAATCTCAGTTAATTAGTTTACTTTTATTTAAAAGTAATATAATGTTCTAAGTGCTATAAGATAGTAAGGCATTTCTCTGTTATAAATGCCAGTATGAAAAAAATTCTCTTTTCACGATTAATCATCAAAATGAATCGCCAGCTGAAAACCAATCCTAATCCAACAAAACACTCTGAAACAATAAACACAACTATTCCTGTTAACAATAATTTTTCACATTTTTAACTACCTTCTGTGCCATTTAACTATTTTTGGATGGTAAGTTTTCTCCCCAAAAAAATAAATCCAAGGTATTTTAGGCCAGAAACGAGGGAACAAATTTCCAATATGAATGCATTTTTTCTTCCTGCAACTTTTTAGGCCACACCTCTAAATGCATGCATTATTGATATATATGTTATGATTCGTGATTATTTACGCATATAATACACACATATAATATATTCGCATATAATAAACGAGGTAAAATAGCTATCCTTGAAAGAATTTTACGTATGTCTTGGCATCACCTTGAGCCGATTAGTAAAATTCGTGTGGTGCTAGTGGTTAGGACACAAAAACAATTTAAAGCCGTATTAAATGCAACTGTAGTAATATATGCAAGAAATTATACGTAGAGAAATAAGCATTAGTATATTTTATTATATTTTAGTTTTCTATAAAATATCTTTGTTATTTCTGTACCTTTTCTGCTTAGTAATTTTTTTCACGTCGCGCAAATTATTTGTACGTGGGGATTTTCTTGCACGGTGGCCACTGTAAGAGAATTTGCACATTATGTCGTATTTTCGAAAAACTACTGGATAAATTTTAATGAAATTTGGTATGAATATACAATTACAAGAGAAAGAGATGTACCGTTCAAAGTCATTTGACATACTCATGATTATCAGTAAAGCTCTTACTGCAGGATATCCAAAACATACGTTGTGATATTGAACTGAAAATATGCGTAGTATGAGGTATGGTCCACTATCACAGCCAGACAGGTCGATCAGTGTGTCAGCATATGGACAGGAGGTAGTTAAGAAATCCCTGTAGCAGTCAGTCCCATATTTGCAGAAGATAATTTTCAAATACTGGATAGTTCTCAGAGGGAGAAGGGGATTTATTATTCATTATTATTCCCCTTGCTTCACCTCTCAATGGGCACTACAGGTCAGTCATGTTATTCTGATCGTTGCACGAGCAACCTTTTTTGGTTGTTTATCTTTTCAACCTTATTATTGATAAACAGATCTAACATTAGTTAATTCTTTTGTTGGGTGCTTCAACTTACAATTTTTGGGGTATGTTAGTATCAAATTAGCAAAACGGGTTTAGAGATATTTACATACATACATGAATAGAGCAAGAAGGTGAGATGAAATTGTCCCAAGATCGTCACAGACATGCTTTATAGGGTTAAGATTAGAAGATCTAACTGGCCAATACATGCGGCAAATATCAATTTCCAGGTAATCTTCGACCAGCCGCGTCACGAGCATTGACAGGAACCCAAGACCAACTGTGGCCTTGAAAAGTCGAACATAATGCTTTAATATTTCCTCTTCGTACCTCATAGCAGTAAGTAGCCTTTGCCAAATGCATACAAGGTATGCGGCCGTTCAATATAATGCCTGTCCAAACCATTACACCTCCACCACCGTAATGAACCTTTTCCCTGTTTACGGAGGGATGGTATTAAGTTCTAGGCTCTGTTCAGATGCAGGTACGCTTAGAATCAGTGTCCAGGTTGAATCTCGACTCATTTGTAAAACGTACGGTGCTGCATTGAAATCTGGCCCAAGGCGCATGTTTTCTGCACTGTGCTAAACGCGTTCTCTTGTATGCTGCAGTGAGCAGGACGTAAACAGCGGGTTTTCTGGCATACAGCCCTATCTCATGAAGCCTTGCCTTTGGGCATCTGTAGACCGTGAAACTGGAGCTGGAATGGCAGCATACAGCTCACGTGAGAGCTATAAAGCTGTGTCAATCCTGTGTCGCCGCGCTGAGAGTGCCAAATGACGATCCTCATTCGTCATTGTGGATGTTGTTAGACCTTGTCCAGGTCTTCTCGATATGGATTCAATGTCCTGAAACTGTTTTCACAAATTGTAGATAACATTGGACGTTACATTGAGTTTTGTAGACTCCTGCGCTTGTGATTGGCCTATATCTAGTCTACCGACAACTTTCTCCATCTCATTCCGCTATCCATACGCTCACGGCTACTCGTTTTACATGATGTCTTATTGAATTTGTCCAACTCTTGGGAGAAACACGGTGAATCTCATGAAGGAGTACAAATACACAAATCGCCGAAAACATCTCATGCGTTCATATCCCCTCCACAATCACAGCTCCGCAGACAAGCACGTGTACGCTTACGCATTTGACTCTAAATATTTGCATAATTCGTCGGTGGCATAATTAGTATCTTTGTTTCAACATTTTTCGTAAGAATATACATAATTTACAAAGTCTCTTAATTTGGAACACGAGTGTACTTGCTTCAGTTGGCTTCGAAATACTAACAGATTTCTGAATATTTGCTTTGCTGTTAATCATACAGAGTATTCCAAAAAGATTGCAAGCCGAAATCTCTTTAATAGTCCCTTTCAAGCGTGTCGTTGCAAATAAATAAATGAATTAAATAAAGCAGTTAATAAATAAACATCATCGTTATATTCTCAGAAAAAGGCTATTGTCCAGAAAAGCTTATAAAATCCCCTAAATTCCTCCTAAAATTTGCGGTAATAATGGTGGAAATTCGTCAGATGATTAAGTTACTGAATGGTTAACTTACGTTTTTGATCTAATCACCAAAAAACTTTTATTATCATTATTGTCACATATTCGATTATCTTCGCAGAATATGAAAGCACTTTCTCATCTTCACAAAACTTGATTCTAGCTTAATGAAGACATTTTTTATATACCTATGCGCAGAGGTATTTTTAACGCCTCTGAGAGCGTATTTCACGCATTGAAAATCGGAAATACGCTTTAAAAAACTAGCCAGGCGTATTTTCACGCACTGAATTTTTAACAAAAGTTTAGCTTAAAAAACACATAGCGCCCCACCGAAATCAACAAATAATATTTTTTTCTACTCAAAAAAGGCCTACCAGCGGCCGAGCGGTAAAGACGCTGAACACTGGTAGTTCGGTCCGAGGTTCGAATCCCGCGAACGGGCTGGCTGCGTGGGCTTTTTCGTGGTTTTCCCCATGTGTAACATGTATACGAGCCAGTTTCCCTTAGAAAGTCCTCCATGAAGGCATCCCTCCCCCCTTAGGCAGATAGCCCTCGTGTGCTTTGCCATAATTAAATACACACACACCATCTACTCAAAACACCACTGAGACATTTTCGCCCGACTTCTCCGCGGCAAGGAATATAGGCGCGGTACTGCCAATACCTTCTTAAATAAGAAGTGTTGTTAAGAAGGTGTTGGCACTGCGCGGAGCCGTGCTGTCTTACCTATCACGGCCAGAGGATAGAAGAAAGAAGCTGAAGAAAGAAATTGAAATTTCATTGTATATTTACAAGCACTGATTTCGTCACGCATTTTATATTACTGGATGGTCGTTCGAACAGTAAAATTGGTTATCGACACACGTGGTTTGGGAGTTCGGTGAAATTTCACATTACGAGCTGGAAAAATCTTTTGCACTCTTTTCAGAAAATTAAAAGCATATATAAAGGTAATTAAGTTTTTTTAAATTTTTCTAGCATGATTTCTAATATGCCTTTAAATTATTTTTATGCTTATATAGTTTGCATTTTTAATTCTTTCATTATTCGGCGCTAGTCAGGAAAAAGTCCAAATTTTACTGAGAACTTACCAGTACAAAAATAAAATTTTAATTCCAATCTTCTTTTTAAAAAATCATTATCTTCACTAGTCTTACAACGCAAACCTGAGTGCTTTATTGCTATCTTTTCGTTAAAAAACTAGCAATTTTATCCCGTTTTTCGGTACAAAAATTGGAATCGCATCCATAATTATCGGCTGTGATAAATAGACATCTCCTTTCGATCTTCTAGTGGGCAAATCGGGACTTAACGTTCTGGTTATATGAAATTAATTCGTCTAAGATTCACCCCATGCCGAAATCGATATTTAGCTAACATCTATCTATTCAAAAATCAGTATTTTGCGTAAATTTTGAGATTTTTACCGATTTTTGGGAAAAAATAGTATTTTTTCGGATTGTACAAACCCTGCTGTAAATACTCTTGTTTTCTTGAAATATTCTGTAGGAGAGAAGTATAATTTTTATTATTATTATTGTTTTAATTTGATGTATCATCTAGACTGAAGTCCCTAGATAATGTTATTAAACATTATTATAGGCCAGATTCTGCTTCTGTTTTGGGTGTTTCAGCAGAAGAATTAAAGCAAGAGCACCTTGAAGTAGAATGTTTTTATGCATGCTAGAGAGAATTCAAATTTAAATAGTTTGCCAATTTGTTGTTCTCATCAAGTTTAGATGGTGAACTCTTATATCCAGGATTTACAGCCCTGGAACAAATAGCTATGACTTATACCTTTGTCAACGGCTGTTTGTGAAAGAGGATTTTCTACTCAAAATAGGATCAAATCAAATAGGAGAAATAGATTGGGGGAAAAACAACTGGAAATTCTAACGAGAATGTCTGAGCAAGGCCCAGATTTCAAAGAACAAAGGGAAAATGTTTTTTGTGATTTTAATTTTGAAAGAGCGGTAATCTTGACTTGTAGAAAAATCAGAGGAAAAGGAGATTAGAATTGTAATATAACCAAGGAAAAATGTTTTTTGTGACTTTAATTTTGAAAGAGCTGTGATATTGTAAGAAAATCAGGGGAAAAGAGATTAAAATTGTAATGTAACCAAGAATAAATGTTTTTTGTAACTTTAATTTTGAAAGAGTTTTGATATTGTAAGGAAATCAGCTGTAGCATTGTGGAAAAATTAGAGGAAAAGGATATTAAATTTGTAATATTA